TTCTGGGCTTTAAGTTCTGGCTCGGCTCCACAAAAATTGGTGTTAATGATCGTTTTGCTTCTTCTTTGTTTTTTATGGCGGGGGCAGCTGCCAACACGAAATGACAAACGACTCCACGCCTATTTATGACGAGCCAACGAAATTACCGCAAGTCTGAAGAAACACTAGTAAAATTTTTAGGGAACTCCCCTCGGAACAACTAAATAGTTCCAGCTGAAAAGTTTATGGGATGACTGTTTATTGATTTATAGTTCGGGAAAGTGCCAATAAAATGGCAGTCCACGAGTCTGGCTAGGATTAGGCAAGGCGTGCCATATGGGATGTGCGGTGGTGTGTAGGCGGGTGGTTTATGTTTTCTCATCTCTTCTGCTGTTCCCCCTCAGCGCAGATCATAAAATTCACTTTTCTGTATATTTTGGTGCAGTTTTAATGTCCCAAACAGAGCCTGAACAGTTTTTAGCCATTAATCGTTTAGTCGAGGGTGGCTGCAGCGCTATATAACTGTACACATGGCTATATATAGCGGCACATTTGGTACTTGTGATAACATTTGATTAGCAGCGTCTGCTCTCGACATCCAGGGGTTTTCCCTAAAATGTTTTGGTCACTATATTTGGAACTTGATATATGAACGGCACACGCCCCTGAGTGCCTGACTGCCTGCCTTCCTCCCTTGTCGAGAGTACTGTCGCTGCCAGCTGTGAGATCTCAGATTGAGAAATGACTGTTGGAAATTATCATCATTTTAGAGACTCTATTGTCTACCTATTGAAAGTACTTTATAAATGGCGTATTCCTATTATGTTCAAGTATTTCGTATAGGGCTCTACTGGATAACAATTCACAATTTTTGTATATAGATATATAAATATATAGATATAACTACATATGAGCAGTTCTCAGTGGCTTAAAGGATATCCAATAGTCTATCAATCTTGCATAGCATTTCTTATTGCTGTCAAGCGTTTACTTCCTTATGCTTTACGCATTTCTTTTAATTATGCGTGAGCACAAATACCTGTAATTGAAAATAAACAGGCTAAGCAAATAGGTAAGGAATCACAAATATAGAAAAACAGACATATATATGTATGTCTGTTTGTATATATTCGTCTCGTCTATATATGCGGAATATTAACGCACAAGCCATAGAAAGTCACGTACCAGCAAACATGTATTAGTCGCTGAGCCTAAGCAAACATCCTTTGTCTTTGTCTGTGGGCTTCCTGTCCGATGCTTATCATGTGTGTGAGCATTCCACAATGCATTGTGTGGGCCAAGGGAAAACGATGGAAAGATGTGGAAAAACAATGGCAAAATGCAATTGGAGGCAGACACCGAAGGAGGCAGCTGGACAGGATGCCTAGTAGGCTAGAGGCGGATTAACGGCAGCTAGCTAGTAGTTTTCCTTTTCTTTTTGGCAGGATGTGTGCAGCTCAGACCAAATCGGATCACAGCGAGTTGCTTCTATAAGTAGCGCTAAGCGTAGAGAACTAATCATGCATCAACGTCTGGGCCCAGAGACTGAGAGTGAGAGTGAGAGAGACAAGAGGCGACGCCTGCTATCAATTAGGCAGCCAATTAAAGCACTTAATTTATTTGGTCTGCGATCGATGTGAGCGATAAACAAGCCATTAGATGCAGGCACAAGAGGACTCTGCCTTAAACTCTCTCGCTCTTACTCATGGTGTTTATCTCAGCTGTCTGCTCGCTCAGCGAAATGCGAGCAGGCATCAAAAGCAGGCGGCGACAGGACAAACCAAAGGCATAAAGAACCGCTTGAGATACGTTCGGCAATTAGAGGTACTTCGTATAGCTAGAGATGATATTAGCTATAGATACAGCTGCATTGAACATATAGATAGATAATTGTAGCTACAGATGTAGTTACATTGAGCACCTAGAGATACAGATACATCTAAAGTTACAGATACATAATATGACACATGCTGAAGTTCAGATACACTGAAGAGGTACAGATACGAACTTACAGATACACAGATGCAGATACACAGGTACAGATACACAGACACAGATACACAGGTACAGATAAAGATACACAGATGGAGATACACAGATACAGATACAGATATACAGATGCAGATACACAGGTACAGATACAGATATACAGATACAGATACACAGGTACAGATACACAGACACAGACACACAGATACAGATACAGATACAGATACAGATACAGATACAGATACAGATACAGATACAGATACAGATACAGATACAGATACAGATACAGATACAGATACAGATACAGATACAGATACAGATACAGATACAGATACAGATACACAGGTACAGATACACAGATACAGATACAGATACATATACACAGATACAGATACAGATACATACACACAGATACAGATACACAGATACAGATACGCAGATACAGATACATAGATACAGATACACAGATACAGATACACAGATACAGATACAGATACAGATACGCAGATACAGATACACAGATACAGATACACAGATACAGATACAGATACATATACACAGATACAGATACATATACACAGATACAGATACACAGATACGCAGATACAGATACACAGATACGCAGATACAGATACACAGATACAGATACAGATACAGATACACAGATACAGATACAGATACGCAGATACAGATACATAGATACAGATACACAGATACAGATACAGATACGCAGATACAGATACACAGATACAGATACGCAGATACAGATACACAGATACAGATACACAGATACAGATACAGATACATATACACAGATACAGATACATATACACAGATACAGATACATATACACAGATACAGATACACAGATACAGATACAGATACAGATACAGATACACAGATACAGATATACAGATTTAGATACACAGATACAGATACAGGCACAGGTATAGCTAGTTTATAAATTCAGATACTTTACACAACGTCAGATACAGTATCATTCTAAGGCTCTAGCCACAGATGCACCGAACAGCTGCCGAATCATTCTATGGCCAGAGCTACAATTACAGATACATTCTATAGATACAGATACATTGTATAGCTGCAGATAGGAAGCCAGACAAAGGTGCAATCTTAAGTGAAAAACCCAATAGCTATAATTGCGTCGTTCGTGTTTAGATAATTTCTTTGGAATTGCCAGGCCGCAAAGGAGCAGCAGCTGCTGCTGCTGCTGCTGCCGCCATTGTCGTTGTCGTTGCTGTTGCAATTTGAACTCACGCACAGGACGCGCGTCCTCGTGCCTCGACAAGGGGGCGCGTCCCGAGCATTGGTTATTCCAATGAAGTGAACGGCAAGCCAAAAGGCCGCGTAACTCGAGTATTCCACTTCACGCTTGCCTATAAATTCGATGAAAGGATTCTGGCACTTAGCTGGCCCAAAACATATGCGCAGCTCTAACACATGCCCTAACATGCAGGATCGAATAGAAATACCACCCGAATGATCCTTTATCCATTTCTTGTTCGTCGTTTCATTTCGTTTGGCTGTCAGTTTGAAAAGGAAGTCGACACCGCAAAGCGCGCATTCAAATGTTCTGCTGCCGTGGAGGCAAAAGGATTTCCTGTAATTACAGAACGTCGTCTAGGCAGCATAATTAGTCAACACACAAACATATATATGTATGTGTATATATGTATTGTATTGTATTGTATTGTGTTTCTAATGTATGTGGCACGTGATGGCCACTGAATTTGTTGCCTACTGAAATCGTTTATTAATATGTACATGAAAAAGATATTACAATGAAGAATTTAATTGATTAATTGAAGTCTGTCAGCGTCCGAGGAACAGGAAAACTGAAGAGAGATTAATAGTTCGTAGTTCGAATGGTAGCTGCAAGAGAATTCGGGTATAGACCGTTGGATATATCTATTAGACCTGTATGACTTTAGCTGTAGTAGAGAAATTATGATATTATATTTACTTACAGTAAAGAGAATACTTATTCAATATTCGTCTACGATTATAGTTCCTAAAATTATCTTTGATCTTTTAAAATCTCACTAAATCAACATTAACCAACAGAAGGTTTTATCTACATAATTTCTACAGCCCCTGCTTTTAAGATAACATTTCTTTAATATGTCAAATCCCTAAAGAACAAAACTCAAAAACCAATTGTCTCCAAGTCTTAACTGCTCTAAAAATCGATTGTCCATGACTACGATTTTGTATCTCAATCTGCTAGGGTTGTGTTATTGTTGCCAATACACAACTTTATTTTGTTGAACCAGTGATCCATGTGTTAATCGATTTAATGCTGAACAATGAGAGCTCTACACTCTACGGGTGTATGAGCGAAATGTGCGCCGCTCAAATACAATGGAACTAAAAATTTGTCCACTGCTGTCAGGTAAGCGTCTTATCAACAGAGGGCGAAGTAAGTGCACTGCGACATAAAAAATAATATGGAAAATACCACAATAAAATAAAATATTAAATACATAATGAAAAATAAATTTATTTATTATTTATTTAAAGCTCAATAAATAATATAAGGAAGGTTTAAATACAAATAATTAATACAGAATATTAAAAGACATTTTTTTAAATAATTACAATAATAAATTCTTAAAAACAAAAATGATTTAAATGTATTAGGTATTACATGTATTAAACTTAATTCATTAATTCAGTCAATTATTTATGTAAAGAAAAATTTTTTTTATATATTTTCTGAAGCAGATAAAAATTAGTTCATTCTTTTGATTACGATTTTTTCTTCTAAATATATTTTTTCTTTACACAACGTATTTAAAAATTTTGCCAGTGTAACAGAGCGCGCTGCTTGCCGTCCCTGAGAGCGGACTCCGCTGGCAGCAGCAGAGCGGAGAGCGATTATCTGATGAGAGAGTGATGGTGTGTGTGTGTGTGTAGCTTGGAGAGACAGCGAGGTAGACAGAAAGAGAGCGGGCTCGTGCCCAGGCGGAGGCAACAAAACCCGCTGCACAGCGACGATCGCAATCAGTTGAGAACGTGAAGTGCGCGTGAACAGAACAGGCAAACCCAAGCAGCAGCACACAGATACACGCATCCGACAGATACAAAAAAAAGAAAAACAACAGCAACAACTAGCTGAAATACGCAGATACTCGTACGCAATAACAACAAACAGCGAATTGCAGCTGCAAACTGGAATTTTGTGTTAAGTGAACAAAAAGCAAAAAACAAATTCAAGAAACTCGAAGCTACGAAAAAACAAAGTTGCAACAATTTGAAAACAAATTAAATTAAAAAACAAAAACAACAGCAAAACTTTCGAAACACGAGCCGATAGCAAAGTAGCTCAGCGACAGCTGCTTTGTTCATGTTGTTCTTGTTGTTGTTGTAATTGTGAGATGGATTTTTTGCGCAAATTGTGAAAATCTGACAAATAGCTTCAGCTGCCGCCCCGCCCTGTCCCGCCCCGCCTCCAGTGAAAATCGTCGAGCAAAGCAGATACGAGAGACAAGCAAAAAAGAAAAAGCTAAAGCGAAAGCGAACAAGTGCAATTTCTATTTTCGCGAAAAGAAAACAACAAAGATATATATACATACATATATCTTTCGAAAAAAATCTACATATATATATATAGTAAAAATTTCGAGCGACAACGACTGAAATTGCATTCGCAATTCCGCGCAGGAAGTTCCATAAACAAAACGCAAATAAAAGAAATTCATAAACAAATTACAAATAAGCACGTATATATTATACATATATCTATAAAGATATATCGAAACGGATATTGTCGGCGCCTTACAACTGCGAGCAGCTTTAGCAAATTTTGGATTAACTTTTAACTAGGTAAGCAGCAGTAGCTATAGGCATACTAAAACATGACTGGATTGACTGATTGATGGCTGATGAAACTTAATGGATTGACTGATGCATAACTCTCACTTAGCCTACATTTAAGCAAAACTTATGTGCAGAGAAGTTTTTCTGAAAATGTTGCCTGTGCGGAAGCTATAAATCAGTCAATAAATTTTAGTTCGTTTGGCAATATCTTTAGACGTATACAACAAGTGTTGATTGACTGATTGATTGGGACATTAAAGTCTGTAATAAACTAGGCTGCATCAATCAGTAAACCTCTTAAGCACCAAGAACTCAGCTGAGTCGATTTAGAGAGTTCAAATTGTTTTCGTTCCGGAAAATTCATGCAAGTTTAGGGAATTTATAAAAGCCGGATGTTAAGCCCACAGCAGTTTTTCCATTTTTCACACCCGCATGCTCAACAAATTATTGATTTGACCCGCACAAAGCCGGTTAATATAGTTTTTCTTTCCATGTAAAGCTGTCGCTCATTAAACAGCCTAAATTGCTGGTTTCATTAACAACACTTTTTCCATTGTTGTTGATTTTTGTAGGTCTCTTTTATTTGTGTGTGTTTAGTGTAAACGTCTTGTTTGACATGTTGAGGAATGCCACAATTAATTTTATACCTTTTTCCTTGTGTGCACAGTTTCGTTTTGTGTTTGTCTTTTCTTCGCGCTAATTGACCTCTAAAAGGTGAGCATATATAGGTATATAGGCATACATATATATATAATATACATATATATTTATATGGCCAACACAAAGATCATTTTAAATTAACATAAGAGAGTGAGAGAGAGAGAGATAAATAGATTTGTTCGACAAAAATTGAAAGTGCCAGCGCTTATTATTATGTTTCATTATAAAGCTATAGGTCAGCCTCGAAGGCAAGACACAATCAATCTAGCCTTGAGCTAAGATCGTGGGCCCTCAAGAGCACAGCCTGTGTGTAAAGACTGAGATTGCTCAGGGGCATACCGGCTATTTGATGTAAGAGAGCTATGAAGAGGGCGAGAGGAACAGTGGGAGAAGGTAAGAGAAAGAAAAGTTAGGAGAAGGGAAATCTGCGGAACATATATCAAGATTGATAAATAGAGTCTGTAGAAAATACATATACAGACTCTACATATATTTATTCAAGTATATATGTATCTAACCTATCTAATAAGAAAGTCTTGCGTTCTATGGAAAAGCAATGAGAATCTATAGTCTATTCCTTGCATAGAAAAGACATGTGTCTATCTTTAGATATATCTACTCCCATAGCAAAGACCTCTTCAACTCAAATTCCCTTTATGCAAAGAATTCTAAAGGCTTCTTCTACTTTTTTCCACACCCATTGTATAGCTGCCATGGGGCAACAGTTCCTATGCTATAATCGTATTATATTATAGCAAAAGTTGAGAGTACTGCCTTTAGATGAAATTTGAGCACGTTTAAACGCAATCTCTTTGTACATTGTTGCCAATTCTTGTGCGAACTACAGTTATAAGCCAGGTCTTTAGCGCTAGCCCTTCTCAAAAACCGTTCACAGTTAATTTTTCATTGCTTGCTTGCTTTTAGACTCAATGTGCAGTTGCCATGACCGCATTCATAGCCGTGTTTGTTGCTATATAGCTGTGCAAAAGCAAAAATAAACCTAACAACAGAATTGTCAAAGCGGCAAACAGTTAAGGTGAGCGGCTAGGCGGGGCAGCCGCAACCACAAGACAAAGCGACACACTCGAAATGCCAAGACGGCAGCTGCAAAAAGTATATAAAAAAATAATAATAAGAAACCAGTAGAATCAACTTCAGTCAAGCGAGATATAGAGTGAGAGAGAGAGAGAGAGAGTCAGAGCTGGTTGCATTTTGGGCGCTTTGTTAGCCTGTGCAGCCCGCATATTGTGAATGCGCGCGCATGCGCAAAGGATGTGTCCCAAGTGGAGAGAGAACGTTGAAACTATTGTGGCAGTCGGCTCTTTGTAATCTTTGCAGCTGCTGCCGCTGACGCTGCTGTTGCCACACATATCAAAAACGCACCTGGCCACACAACAGGACCAATAAAATTGAGTACAGAAAGTAGATGAACGATTAGGAAATACCCTAAAAGCAAATATTTAATATAGAAATATATGGCATGGAGAGAAGTATTTAAATGTTTATTAACTCTATTGGAGCAGAGTTTATATATGAAATTTCAGCTCTATAGCTCTTATAGTTCGCGAGTTATGCTAAAGAAAAACAAAGATCTATCAATATTAGGGAAATATCATATATACATACAATATTTGAAATTTGAAGTGCTCATTGTAGTTATCAAAATCAAACTAGTTTCAACAGATAAAAAGTTATTGAATAAATGTTTGCCTGATAAGAAACTAAACAGAAATTTTTAATTCTCTAACTTTTGAGCTTGATAGGAAATGATAAAGAAAGTTGAAAGTTGCTAATTAAACTAACTCAGATCAGTTGATGTTACTTATATGTACATATATAGAAAAAAAATCAACAAACTGCACGCCCCTTTTTAATCAATTCAAGGGTTAAAAAATACTTGATTAAATGTCATTGCAATCTCGTTCAAGTAATTGGCTCTTTCACTCTGCTGCTCTGATTCATCCTCTTTGTTGACCCACTAAAGGAAATAGCTGGCTCATGATATGGCTGTGTCAAATTACCTGTGAATGCAATTGCTTAGATAAGTACCAGGCGAAATTCCCAATAAAAGCATAAATTTTGATTTGCGATAAGCATTCGCTTGCGCATTTCCTGCCTAGTTGCTACGGTAAATCCCACCTGAGCTGCAGTCGCATCACCTTCGTCAAGTTAGTCGCTCGTTGGGCTTGTCGTGTTTTTGCTTTGCTATGGCGCGTGTCGCGCCACGCAGCAGCCGCCTAGTTGCCTCGTTGCCTTGTTGCCTTGTTGCATGCCACGCTACATTGCCAGCGACACGTGTGGGGCGTGAAATGTTCAACGTCTGTCAGACGTCGTCGTCGTCGTCGTCGCCGTCGCCAACTCGTCATCATCAAAGCATTTGCTTTACGTTCTGTTTTCATTTAATTTCCAACTAAATATTTACAGCACTCGCCCTCTCTCTCTCTCTCCCTCTGCCTCCCCAACCAATTGCATTTGGCGCCATTTGCTTTATTTTTAAACGAGGAAAAGTCGTCACACATCCGTCCATCAACGTGCGTCCCGCGTCCCAAATGAAAATGATGAATGGCTATGCGATGGGCGCAGTTCCAACATTTCAATGTGCTCCCTATGTGACCCTTCCCCACCCACTGGCTACAGCCCCCCAGTGCCCAGCGTATTGCTGCGCTTTTGCAGACGTCAGGCAGACGCCGATGCCGATGTCGACGGCGACGCAGACGCAGACGCCGACAGAGACAGCGTTACATGATTTGTAATATCAGCAAACATATATAAATATACATACACATACATTTATAGGAATCCGGTTTTGTTGTTGCTGCTTGGCTGGCGAAAAACAACAACAAAAATATGCTTATTTTTAACAATATTCAGCAGATTATCATCTGTCGTCTGCTGCTGTCTATAATTGTTGTTGTTGTATGCACTCTGTAAAATATATATATTTGTTATTGAATGAGCAAGTTTATTTGCCTTGAATTTGTAGCCAAGCAATTTGAAACAGCTCTCTCTCTCGCTCTCCCCCTCTCACTCTCTCTCTCTCTCACTCTGGCCTTCCTCTAAAACCTTTCTCACATCGGCTCAAAACTCCTCAGCTGGAAATTTAACTTAATTTGAGAACCTCTCCAAAAAAAAAAAAAGACAAATAAAGAGTAAGAAAAGCAACAGCAAATTGACTTAGGAGGAAGCGCATAATTTAGACATGCGCAAGTGTATCTATGAGATACACATTCGCAGATACAAATACATACACATATAGTAACAGCTACAGCTACAGCTAGAGCTTAGGATTCGTGCGCGTTCAAATTGTAATCAAATTAATGGCAGCTAGGCAAAACAAAATTTACATAGTTTGCTGTGTTTGCTATTTGTCAGACATTTGATATGTAAACCAAGCGAAAGAAAATTGAAGAGAGAGCAACAGCATGCATGCACGGGATGACCGGAAAATACCCTGTACGGGGAAATATGTGTGTGTGTATAAAGAGCAAAATATAAATATGCTAGAAACCATACATTACCTATTGAGTATTTAGACTGTGCGTTCAAAATTAGCACTTCTACTAGATACTAGAATAAATACTATATTTGTAAATATGCAGATAAAACGTGATTCACATAGTCTACGATAAAGTCTGTCACATCATATGATGGTATCTTGTCTACAGGGTATACAAAATCTATATGCGAAATTGTGCAAAAGATTTGTGATGCCCGGCGGAAAAAAAAAGTTCGCGGTAGATGAGTTCTTCAAAAAACGGAAGCGACCTGCAGATAAAGATGGGAGGCGTCAACAGACAAATACACAGCAAAGATTTAAGTGTAGAACAGTGTGTGTGTGGGGAGCAAATTACGCACTTAAAGTGCTCGCCAAATGACAGGAAACGCGTCATTTTTACGAACTTCAAATTACGATTTTACGTTTCGTCGTTTTCGTTGTTGTTGTTGCTGCTGTTGCTGTCAGAAGAAGCAGCGAGTGTATGGGTGAGTGTGTCAGTGTTTATATAGTAGCTGGCACTAAGTAGCAACAACACAACAGGAACAAGAACAACAAACGACAGTGCAAAGTGCAGACGTCAACGTAATTAAAACTGGCGTAAATGCATTTGTATGTATGTGTGTGTGTGAGTGTGCTTGTGTATGGCATATCGCACATTTGTTCAGCTTGTGTGTGTTTCAGAGTTTCCTTTTGTGCATCCTGTGCGCGGGCGGAGGCGGATATGCGCACATTGCACAGACTTCCTGTCATTGACTCCAACTAGTAACAGAAAACCATTTCCTACCCATGGAAGTGACAGACCCTGAGCTAAGGGCAGACGACGACGCGTGCTCAGCACGCGTTTTGCGTGTAGCTAAACCAAAAAGGAAAGTCAATGTTGACAAATTAACAAACGAAAACAAAAATATACATGCATAGATAGACAACTTGATCGATGTGTGGGTTAATGATAATTTTGGCCCTGGTCGCAACGGAAGCACAGCAGACGTGTGACATATGCGGCATTATCTATTGAGTAATTGGTTTGTGCGCTATCGATCCTGTTGCATTGCCCCCAATAATCTTCCATGGAAACAATTTCGCAGTGAAACCAAGCCTGCTGCAATTAGCTTAAAACCTGACATTACCTATTGAGTAATTGCACATTGCATTCAGTCCTGCATCAGCTTCCCCTAACATTAACACGCCCCCTCAATTGCTGGCAGCATTAATGGCCAATTTATCAGTACGTCTGCCTTTGCGCTGTGGGAAATCTGTAAATATAGTCGCCGGAAATTGCCTCATGAGGTGGTCTCCAACACACAAAATTCAAACTGTTATAATTGTCTAATTTAGAGCGCCCGCTGTGTGCATCACCTGCGGTGCGGTCACATTTGATATGTAAATGACTGTTGATCGTTTATCGAAACTGCTTATCGACAGTTGCTGCTAATGATATGCCTGCACTCAAGTGCTAATAAAGCGAATCAAATAATATAAAGTGCATTTAAAGCGTCGTCTTGGACAAACTTAGGCATGTTTATGGCATCCGCTGTAGCCTGAGTCACCAATGTAGCAGACACACCGACATACAGACATGTATATACTGATTCATGCATTTTTCGTTGCATTAGCTTAGGCCAGGGCTTTGACAGAAAGACGGCATTCTCGAATGCCCAATTTATATGTTAATAACTTAGTTTGCTCAACATTTCCCCCCATCCCAGACAAAACATAAATATACAAATATTGTCTGTACATACCCTAACAAGTGGTTCGGCGGGCATTGTGTGTGGCTTCCTGGCCGGCAAACAAAGAGAACAACGAAAAAGAGTTTTCAGAGTTGTTTTTTGTTTTCTTCTCTTTCATACAATATTTGTTGATTCATTCGAATTCGAATTCGGTGTTCGTGGGAATTATCGCGCCGCGCACGCACACATACACACACTCACGTGTAATTAAAATTGCGGCTTCAAAGTTCGATTCCTTGGCGAATTTCAGCTGGCTTTTACGCACTTCCTTGGACGGAAGCACTTGAAACGGGTTCCGGAAAACTATTAACACAGGCAAATGACAAATGGGCCAATACGCAAGGGTTCTGCCACAGTTGGCTTCCCCCTATTTTGGATGCGCTGTGTGAAATGAAATCTCGGATGCCGGTGGTCGCCGTAACGCCCGCGGCTTCCGTTCCCTTCCTCACACTCATACACACACACACGCGTGCCCGTTGTACACCTTTTAACATTGGCTTTAGCTTTAGCTTTGCGCCGGCGGATGTTTTGCTTGTCACTGCCATTTTCATTTCCATGCCCATTCGCATTTGCCATTCTGATTGCCCATGCTCGCCGTCTTTAGAGTTTTGTCGCGTTTTGTTTTGATCAGCTCGTTCGCAAGTTGGCAATTCGCCGCTGCCGCTGCTTTTGCCTCTGCCGTTACCGCTGCTACCGCGTTTGCTAATTGTTTCCGCTTGCCGCATAGTTTCTGATTATTATCGTAATCGATGCAATTCCGGTTTGGCACTTGCCTTTCTATGTCGGCCAACACAATTGAGCAAACCACTGAGCCATCATATAATTGTCAGCCATACAAATGTGGGCCATTTATTAAAATGTGGTCATGGTTAATAACAGCAGCTGCTGCTGTTGTTCCTACTGTTGCGGCGACTATTATTTTCGCCTCATTGTAGCTGTTCTTGTTGTTGTATCGATATGACAGCAGCGTAGTGATTGTTCAGCGCTTCCTTTCGCGTGTGACCCGCCCCTCTCTGATCGGCATCACATACATGCGATCGTTCAAACGGACCATTTTTGTCTTATTATTTCAATGGCAACAAGGTCAGATTTAATTTTGCGGTAGAATAACAAAAATAAAAATATAAAAATATTCATTGAAAGCATAACAACAGATAACGCACGGCGAAATTTGAATACTCTTACTTAACAGCGCTGTTAATATGTATAGCAGGATTATGCTAGCTGGTTAACAGTTAACATTAATTATTTTTCAAAATTGCGAAAATATCGGGAACAGATTTACGCTTTCAAATTGTCTATATTTATAATTAGCAACTGAAGCATATGGTTCAAGCAATTTATTTTGTGTGACATTTTGTATAAAATTTAGGTCACATTATCTTTAAAACCTACAAACCTGTTGACTAAGTTTTGAGGCTCTTTATTTGTTTACTGCACGTACAATCCGGTGTTGGCGTATTATTGTTGCCGTTGATACGATTAAACAATTGTCCGGTTGTGAAAGCATTTCCGCCACTTGACTTCAGTCCGCAAACAAACACATATAGACACACACACAGTCACACAGTTCCTTCTTGTGCCCCTCTCTGGCAATGAATCACTTCCATTAATCAGCGTCATTTCTATCTGTCATTTGCAGCTCACTGCTTCACGATGCAATTGGAGGCCAGTTACCCGAAATATGCCGGACGCGTGCCGCCATTGGATCTGTCCCAGGTCAACGCCGGCCAAGATCAGTTGCAGCAGCTGTGGGCGAACAGCAAGCGTCATCATCCCTACCTACAAATGTTGGACAAGACTTTGCTCAGGTCCGATGACATCAATAACAATAACAACAGCAGCAGCAACAACAATAACAACAACAACAACAACAGCAGCAGCAACAATAACAACAACAGCAGCGGCATTCAACATCAAAAGAACAGCCTGCCTTATCCCATGGGCTCCGATGGTTTGCCATTGGATCCGCGTGATTGGACACGTGCCGATGTGTGGAAATGGCTGATCAATATGACCGTATCGGAGGGACTCGAAGTAACGCCCGAGCTGCCGCAGAAGTTCCCAATGAACGGCAAAGCCCTCTGCCTGATGAGCATGGATATGTATCTGTGTCGTGTGCCCGTCGGCGGCAAGATGCTCTATCGTGATTTCCGTGTGCGTCTCGCACGCGCCATGGCGTTGCTCTCCTAAAAAAAAGAATCCCACACTGAATACCCAAGCGAAATACCCTAAGGTTGTAAATATACCTAGTATATATAGCATACATATACATAAATATACAGATATATATATATAGAGTTACCTAGTCTTAAGCCGTAGCCCTAAATGCATTTGCTTAATCGCTTAAGTGGTCGAAGTATGCCCCGCCAGTGCCCAGGCTCTATCTCTTATTAGCCAGTGGCTCGGCTGCGGGGCCTACTTCAAATGCTGTCCTATTAGTCATCTAAGTATTTGCATCTAATGAAAATATAAAATGAAATTTTATGAAAAATCAAATGAAATTTTCATGTGCGTTTTTATTTGAAGTGGATTAAATGCTCTTTTAATGGAAGTGGATCTTAAGAGGTGGAAAGTATTTCCTATCCTCTTCAGATATGGCGAATGGAATTATGAAAGAGTCGGAGGGGAAACTTACATACATATATAATGCTTAAGATCAACACTCATTGGATTTGCATACATATTTAGAAATGAGGAATAACTAGACGGAAGTCTAATTTGGGAACGAATTTGAAATATAGTATTTTATTGGAATATAGTATATATTGTTATATGCTTTATTGTTATACTGTTATACAGCACAGATCAGTCAAGTCAGAGGTATTCAAATTGAAGTCTTAGAAGGTCTTAGTTCATAAAGCAGCCATGGAGATATTTACAAAGCTGTCTAGTGTAGTTAAAAATTGAAGGCAGCTAAAGCACCTAAATATCTTAACAATGCAATTAGCTAGATATAACTGTCTACATATGCCAGATGCTCAGTCTAGGTATTCTGTCTGGCAGTAAACCCAAGATAAGTCTTATCAAATAAATTCCGATAAGTGGCTAGGTATACAAAAAAAAAAAAAAAAGCTGCAAAAAGTATTTCAAAAGAAAAACCTTCAACGTTTCCAGTTCCGGACTTCAACTGATATGCAGAAAGTTTTTATAGAAGATTAAGCTTCCACTTAAAGTATTTAAAAGAGATAAAGCCATTTACTATACAGAATTATCTCTCTCTCCCTCTCTCTTTCTTTCTTTTTCACTTCCTCTCCCTTTTGGGATAACTTGATGTGCATAAATTCCCAGCGTATTCTTTCTTAATCTTTGACTTGACTTTCTCTCAACAATTTTTGAATGGGCACAAGTTGTTGCATTTGAGTTGAGCATTTTATGTGCTGTTTATGTCTTTCACAATTTAAAATGGAACTATGCACTATATATATATACATATGTATGTGTAGAACAATGTGTAGGTACTAAAGCGGCGCATTGACATGTTGCCCCATTAGCAGATCATTAAGGAAAGAGCCGAACAAAACTCGTATTGTATCTGAATGGAAGTGCAATAAACTCTTTGTTATTGTTGGCCAAGAAGTTAATGTTAACATTCGGCAGAACACCCATGAGTCTTTATTTTTAGACCAGACAGAGCGTGATTTATTTGTATGCAAAGAGAGAGATAGGGAGAGAGAGAGAGAAAGAGAAAGATCGGGAGGCCGAAGGGGCAAAGTAGTCTAGACTTTGCTGCTAATTGTGAAGCAAATGATATTTGCTTGAAGCAACTCGAAAGGTCGGCTGACTAGGTTTTCATAGACTTTGGGAAAGTCGTAAGAGGGGGCATTGGTTTTCGGGTAGTAGGCGAAAAAAAGAGAGCAACTTGAGCTAATATGTCAGCCTATATGGCTGACCTTCTGTCAATCTGACAGATCACAAACTGGCTAAAGAATTCTACAATCCCAAACTCTGCTCTTGGTTAGGATATTTGCTAGTCGGTCACTTAAAACTAGAGCAATCTCAGTTGCTTCTATTTCCTTTTTTTTTTTTTTTTTTTTGCACAATTATGACAACAACAATAACTACTCATGATAATCAGCCAAATAGAACCCACGAAAAAAAAAAAAATAAACAACTATACTACAGAGAGAGAAGGAGAAAGAGAGAGAGAGGCATATAGGGAGTAAGGGAGACAGAGCTAGGTAACGCTAGGTATAGAGAGCTAGTTGCTGATTCAAGCGCTTCATCCGCCCGTGCATCCGCTTCAGTTGGGTTTGCTCTATGAATGAATAGCTACAGATACAGATACAGATATAGATACAGATACATGCACAATCATAGATACAGATACGCCGGCTCTTCCTGTATGTGGCTGCTTCTGCTATTGCTGCTGCTGTTGTAACTTTGGAACTTTGCATTTAGTGCAGTTTTATAAATTTGTCTGTCTGTCCGCCTAGATGTCTGTGTGTGTATTTTTCTGTTTTTTTAATTCTCTCTTTAGTTTGGCATCCGGGATGTTGTTTGTGCGCCAGTCCGAAAGGTAAAGGAAGTGAGACAAATGGGCCAACCACCGACAGCAACAACAACAACAACAACGTGGGCAAGTACTTTACCTTTATGCGGCTACCTTGTAATATGAAACAGATGTCGTGAAGAAGCGACGGCCACGACCTGCCACATGCCACATGCTGCATGCTGCATTCTGCATGCCTCATGCCGCATGCCACACACAACACAGCTGACGCAACGAATATTTGTAAGCAGCAAACATATTGACACAAGTGATGAGAGTAGAAGCACCTAAATAAAGAGAAGTGTACGAAATATATGTATAAATTTGTTTTATAGACGTTAAAGCAAATGTTGTCAAAGTTCATAGGGTCGATAAGATCAGATTCCCATAGAATCTATGCGATCTATAAGGTCCATAGGGTTTATTGGCACTAAGGGGTCTACAGGGCCTTTGGAGCCTATAAGGTCCATAGCGGCTGTGTCCATAAGTCCTTAGTTTTACAGATAGAGCTGATGCAGAAGTTATGGAATACAACCTTTGACTACTCTTTGGCCTGCTTCTCTTAGTAGGCAGTTGGGAAATACGTATAACTTTCTTTTACATTCCTTTTTTATTTAATTTTTATGTTTCTTTTAAGCTGTTTCTCTTTAATTTTGTTTCGTCTTTCTATTTTTATGAATAATTTTTTAATCTAAATCCAAAATGCAGGCAAAATGCAGCATTTTAAAGAGGTGAGCACCCTGCGCACAGTATTTCTTTCAAGTAAATACCAAGTCTTATATCGTAGCATTATGCCCGTAAAAATATACAAGTCAACCAGTGCCGTATACCTGACCTGCATATCGAAGATCTCGATATCGGCTTTTGTGCCCGAATGCAATCAAAAGCTGGTGGTGGAGAAGGCCATTGTCCAGGCCCTGGACGAGAGCATCATGCCGCAGGCGTACGCCGACCGGCAGCTGGAGGCCGAGGAGCTGATGCACCGTTCTCAGACAAACTTTCGCAAGTTGATTGCCGAACGGAGCAAGACCGGGAAACAGATTCGTTGGGCCCAAAATACCCAAGTAAGGACAAGTAACAACGAGCTGGCAGTCGTGCCGCAGTCGTCTGCCATCAGGAAGCTGGCATCCGGGGAGCCCTCGGATAGGGGTCAGGCCGTCAAGAAGAAGGTGCGATGGGGACAAAATACCCAAAAGTGCTTCAACAAGGAACTCGAAGCCACACACCCAATGCCCGTTACCAATGTTCCTCTCAACGATAATCGCACCTGCAAGTCATATCGTCGCAGCAGGCGCAAGAGAAGGCGTACTCGCATCAAACTGCCGACCATCGATGTTGCGACAATTTGTGCGTAATTTGACTTGAGTTCATAGTTAGAATAATTCCCTTATATGCCCTTTTCCTCCTTTCCTGCCTCCTTCCCCTTCCTCTTCTATTCACAGTGGAGTTCATCAAAATTCTGCTTCTGATGATCGGTTTGTGCATTACAGCCTATCTGATGGCCGATCTATCACAATGAGTATATTTCCGCCTTGTTTTTCCGCTTGTAATTTTCTTAATGGAATGTGAAAATGTACAAATGTGATTTGTGAAATGTCTGGCTGTGTCTGAGTCTGTGCCCGTGTCTGTTGCTTTAATTTCCCCCGATCGAACCATCAATCAGGCAATGCGAATGCGTTTAGCAAAACAAAGGCGAATAAACTGAGCTCAAAGACCGGGAAAATTTTTGTAGGAAATGCCGCTTATGTAAAGTAGAATATCCGCCGGGGCGACCCGAAGTCCAAAACGGAAGCCAAGGTGCGAAAAACAATAAAAAAAGAAATAAAAAAAAAAAAAATACAAAATCTAACCAACCAAACGGAAGTGGGAACCAACGACGTTTCCCTCCAAGCTACAACAACAACATCATGATGATGAAGAGCTACAATTCTGAGCTACAGATTTTGCCAATTTACTCAAAATGACTTTTCACCCATTTTCCGGCAGCCAAAAAAACAAAAATTAACTTTTCTATAGCAAAGGAAATGACTTAACTAAAATTTTGTTGGTTGCTCGACATCAATAGGCAAAGCTGAAGTGTTTCGAGTTTCTTGTTAATCAAGTTCTGACCCGAAGTTTGTCGAGTAACAAGCAGCAGAAATAACACCAGACGCTAAACGAAACATCAACAAACATTTGGGGCCCAATAGCGCGGGGGTTACGATTGTGCAATTGAAACTCTTCGGGGGCAGCCGCCTCTTTAATTAGTTCATTGGCAGCAAAACGAAGGAAAACAGGGGAATGGGCGCGATATTTCCCACGAACTCTGCAATCGACGGGGTAAACAAATGAAATGAATCAACAAATATGAAAAAATACAACTTGAAAATTGAAGAGGAGTAGTGCGGGCTGCAAAAACAGCTGAGCGGCTGTCAGATACCCTGTAGGTTGTTGATAAAGGCTAAATAATGAGAGCGAAAAAATGGGAAGGAGAAGGGAGTTAAAGAGGGAGATAGAATGAAGGGGAAAGAGAGAGAGACAGAGAGAGAGAAAAAGAGAGACGGAGTAATAGACAATCGACAGAGAGAGAGAGAGAGAGAGAGAGAGAGAGAGAGAGAGAGAGTTAAAGCGAGATAGAGAGGGAGAGAGGCAATAATCAATTTACTTGTAAATGAAAAAGAGAGATAGATAGGGAGAGATAAAAGGCGTTACAGATAGACTGAGCAGAAAGGAAAATATGCAGAGAGAGTAATGGAGACAGAGATAATTACCGAAAGAGGTAGACTTATGATAGGAAAAGACCTATGATCTAGAAGGGAAAACATTTTAGAGAGAGACAGAGATAGCGATGCAATTCTGTTTCAAATTTTAATTCGCCTTCAGATTTAAACCTTCCACTTTCAGCATGTTGATATTGATCGATTTTAGTTCGGTAACCGTAGCTCCAGCTCTTAGACTCTGAATATATAGCTAGCTCCCTTTCGGTACTTTTCGTCTAACTGTTAAATCAACTATTTGCTCAGCTACTCGCAATTGCCAATATTTACGCGGTACATTTAAGTAGAGAACACATAGAAGAGCCCTGTCCCACACGCATACTCACACTCTCTCTCTCTCTCTCTCTCTCTCTCTCTCATTCACTCACACATCAAATCGAACGCCCGCTTGGAAGCTGCCTCCAAAGAGCCACTTGTTCCGCGGCTCGTGTTTTGTTTGTTTATTTGAAGTTTGATGTTGTTGTTGTTGTTTTTCAGTGAAATGTTGAAACATGCTCTGTGTGGCATTAACATATGAATTGATCGAAGCTGGGAAATTTGAGACAGCAAGAAAATGTAAAGAATGAAAATGGACAAGCCCACGACACGATAAAAGCTATCTAGTTATATTTAACTGTCCGTCCGACCGTCCGTCCATCGGTCCGTTTGTCCCTGTCCCATTTGGTGACTCAGTTTGACTGCGGATGCCATAAAGAATGCTTAGAGTCCGGCTTGGATAAAAACCTAGATGACGCGCTGTGTGGCATGTCATTAACACTAAAAGTTCTGGCCGACTCCAAACGATTGATGAAAAATAAAAACAAAATATATAGAAAATTAAATTCGAGCTTCGGGCGGTCTTTGGGGAGAGAAACTAGAAACCAGGGAATTAATTAGTTCATTTTCATTAAACGCAGCGGGGACCACCACGAAGCAGCAGCAGCAGGCGGCAGCAGCAGCAGTAGTTGGGGGGCGTGGCCACATTTGACAACATCCGGTTACATTAGATGCAGCTCCCACCCCAAAAAGCAATAAATGTGGTGGTTACAAAAGCACTTGAAGTTCAGTGGGTTTCTCACGCCCACGCTTGGAGCTCCCAATGCCATGCCATGAGAAGGGAAAAGCCAAAAGCTGTGTGAAATGCTGCTCAAGAAAATGCGACAAAGACAAAGCAAAAGAAAGAGAGAGCGAGCCAGTTAGAGAGAGAGGCCACTAAACTGCCGTAGAGTGAGTGAGAGAGAGCGAGCGAGTGGGCTAGAGGCATTCTGCATAAAAGAGTGAACTGATTGCCACATCTCAAGTTCATGGGAACAAATGGAACGCTGCGACTCGATGTAGTCAAGTGTAAAGAAACTCTTGTAGCTCCCCTCTCGCGTCACTTTGCTCCCCTCTCGCCATAAATTTTGGCTGCTCTGCTTTGTCAGAGGCTTTGAGAGCAATAAATAAATTCTTGTAATTTAATAACATGTGTGTGAAATGCGAAGTAGAGGTTACTGAGTGAGAGAGAGAGAGAGAGAGAGAGAGAGGGAGAGAGAGAGACAGAGAGAAGAAGACAGGCTAAGTCAAGAGTTGTCTAAACAGCGTTTGTGCATTGACTCAAGCTAGTTGTGGAAGATTGTAGCTGATTGGCTGATATGGTTAAGATATGATCAGAGTTCATGCTCTTAATATAGACAAATTTATTCCAATGACTCGAGCTACTATTGAAAGAACAAGTCCAGTTTTACGATCAAAAGCAGATCAAGATGGAATAAGTATAAACTGTTTGTAGCAAATATTATTTAAGCATAATCAGAGGTTTTTTGTTTACCTATTTATAATAAGAGAACAAATGGAACTTAGACATTTTTGTATAGATCTATTATATAAATAATTATATAATTAAAAAAAAAAAAAAAAAAATTTTGGAAATATAAATATTTGATCAAATTCATTGTAAAAATATTTGAATTTTAAGACAACTAAAAATAAAAATAAAATTGTTAATTGTTACCAACTAATATATTTTTATTAATATATATAAAATATTTATATAAGTTAATATTAAGACAATTAAAAATACAAATAAAATTGTTTAAAAACTTATATATTTTAATTAATATATTTAAATTATTTTTACATACAAGTACACAAAAAATACAGTTAAAATGCATTTAGTTCAATTATTATTTATTTTTTCTTTACTCAGATTTCATTATAGAGATATCTCTTCATTTTCCGCACATATTGTCCATTTAGCTCATTTTAGCTGGCTGCTCAATGGAGATTGTAGATTCCTTCAACCCTCCACGCTGCTGTCATAAATAAACCTTTCAGCTCAATTATGCTGATAGACAGGCGTGCATTGATAAATACAGGTGCACAGAGAGGAAGATAGAGGCAGAGAGAGAGAGAGAGAGAGAGAGAGAGAGAGAGAGAAGGCAAATGTAGATAGAGATAGTGCGCGATGACAACTATCATATATTACACTGTGTGCTGTGTGGGCGTGTCAACACTTTCAATTTTTATTTCGTTGCGGCTGCAGCTAGAGGCATTCACAATTTTGAGTGACAATCGCGGAGGCTCTTCGCTGGTCTTTGGGAATGCCGCCTGCATAGCCAAGCGAGATGGCCAGGAATGGAGCTAGACCGAAGGCAACTGGCAACTGTTTGTGACATTGTCTGCGCCTTGTCTGCCAAAGAAGACGACAACGACGACGGCGACTATGATGACGACGTCTGCTGTGCTTCCGTTTCCTGCGCGCATAAATTTTAATGAGGGAACGCAATATCAATTGAAAGCAGTATAAACTAAATATAAAGCCTTGACTTTGGAACAAAGTCAAAGTCAGTCAAAAGTTGGCCAAACAGGGTGAAAACGAAGAAGCGAGGCAGCTTTTACTTGGCATTTCCCGAGCCACAACATTTGCAGACACAACTAACTAAACAAATATAATATATATATATGTATGTACTATATAAATATATCTATCTGTGCAGGAAACTAGTTTTTCAGGTTCGGCGCATGGCCTGTGATAACAACAATTGCAATTGCAGGCGGCTGAAATGCCTTTAAGACTGGTCAAGACTGCAAAACATGCCAGGAATGTTAATTGAGCAAAAAAAAAAAAAAAAACCAACAAAAAAAGCACAACAAAAAATGAGAATAAGTATAAAAAGTGCCAGCGCAGTGAGAACATATCGCGTGTTTTGTGATGGAATATAATAGCAAAAGCTTGGCGTTACTCCGATACCATAATTATGATATTTAAAGAAGAGGAAGACTGAACAACTGAAAAAGAAGAGGTGTAGAAAATTGTACACGCTGCTCGTATTATAAGTCGTCGACATTCTTGCAGAGCAAAATGAGCTAGCACAAATAAACATGGGCAAGCCGAATGGAATTAGAGTTTGCGTATCTGTATCTGTGCCTGTGGCTCTGTATCTATATCTATGACTGTGTCTGTCTCGCTGTCTGGCTGGCTGTTTGTTGACTTGAGCGTTGGGGTCTCGTGGTCGCAGTCAGTGGAGCGAGCTGGGCATACGGAAGCCATAAGCCATGCATGCTGCTGCTGCCGGCTGCTGCTCTTGACTAGCCAAACGTCTGGGCAGATTTCTATGCAATGCTCATGTTTCGGCTGGGCTGTTGAACTCCAGCGCCAAGGCGCTCAAGCGAAGAGCTGCTCACAGGCATAGCACACACACACACACACACACACACACACACACACATACCACACACACGTCTCATGCTACTCATAAACGTGGTCAGGAATGGCAAGATATCAAAAAATCAATCATGCAGATGCTCCTGTTCCTGCTGCTCCTGCTGCTGCTGCTGCTGCTGCTGCTGCTGCAAATAATGAAAAGAAAAGATGATGCGTGCAAAATCACCTAAAATTACAGGAAGCAAAGCGCAAAGCACTTGCCGAAATGGCCAAAAATCATTCAATTATGTTGTTGGTACATCTTGCCACAGGCAACAAACAGGTAACCACAACAAGGATGTGCTGTCAGAATGCACACAGCTGCAACAATATGGGGCGTGTCAGCATTGGCAAAACAATTACGCAAGCAACCTGGATTAAGACCTGTTGCTCCGCTTAAGGACAGCCAGTTGTTTATGTTTATGAAAGGAAGTAGAACAGTCAACAAAAAAATCAGAAAATCAATAAATAAAGAGCCCTAGTAAATGGGGTCAGCGCCCCGCGGCAATTAATCAATATGTAAATTGCTTTTCCAAAATCACTCGTTTGATTAGTGTCCAAATGTAAATTTAAATATCGCGCGCAACTATCGGCTACTTTTATGTTGCAACAGTAACAGCGTGATGTTAAAGGAATGTTAGCATCAGTCTCAAATATTAAATTTCCCAATCGAATAGAGCAATGTTTATTTATTTACACAGGTGCGTAACTCTTTGTCAACTTAGTAAAAAAATTTTAACTTAAACAAAAGCAAAAGCAAATACGTTTAGCCCAATTAGATTCCCACATGTGTGCGTTTATACAACACAAGCCTGTACAATTCATATACAAATTAAATTGACTGCCCAAATTTAAATAGCGCGGTCAACTATCGACTAGTTGCGAATCGGAAACTTTAACAGCACCATTTTGAGTTTAACAGCATCAAGTGAAATGAATATATGCAAAAAACCTATCGCTCAATCGAATAGAACGATTAATTATTGAACCGTCGTCAGCCAGCTGCGAGTCATTTTTTTGTGTGCACGGAAAAAAATGCGTAAAACGTAAACAAAGTATTTGAAAACAAAGAAAAACACGTCAGTACATAAATACTTAAGCTAAAAAGTATTTTTCGGCCAGGCCAATGAGTTATGAGATATATGTGAACACCCTGAACTCAACCCTACAGGCTTTCGCCCAACAAGTTGAGCACTTCTCTGGCGTCGCTCTACAAGCTGTTGTCCAATTTTACAGCGAATTGATCAACTTCGCTGCCGACTGGCATTGGCAGTGGCAAAGTCCCGTTGAGTTTACAGCATTACAGGCAACGTTGCTGAAGGTGTTGTTGATACTATTACTGGGGACAGGTGTGCTAATTGCGTGGGCGTGGGGCGTTTACGGTCGTGTGATCACTGAAAAGTTTGTCAGGCCGAGTGAGTACGATTGTTAAAGAATACATATGTATTTATGTATATCATTTTGTGTATGGATAGTAGCAAGTATATCGTTAAATTTTCGGCGAAATTCTTTTTTAGGCACTTTAAAGGAAATTGAAGAGCTCAAATTATCTGTAGCCAAATTGAAGTTGCCGAAGGAGCATTCACCCAGAATTTAAGATCATGTCTAAAATCAAGCGTTTCTTTTCCAAAAAGAAGGAGGAGGCGGCCTTTAAGGTAAACCTTAAATACACACTCACATCGTATACTAAAATCTCTAAAATCACTTTGCAGATGCGATTGGGCGGCGGCATGGGTCAGGGTCATAAGCTGAATGAGCCAAAGCCCGATGCACCGTCGAGCAGCTCGTCAAAGCGTGACAAGGATGCTTATATCCCACCTCGACGCAACGAGCTGAGCAATGAGGCACGCGCTGCAGCAAATGCGGCACTCTCCCGCATCGAGCGCAAGGATTCGAAGGACTTCAATACTTCACTGGCTGCCATTAAGGCACAGGCGAAGCGAGAATTGGAAGCAGAGCGCAAACAGAAACAGGAGTTGTCCTGTTCCTCTACTACTGGCTCTGCCAGCGCCAGCTCTTCAGCTCAGGAGAATCGAAACTTGGCCTGCCAGGGCGTCTTCTTTCGCTGTCCTCTGATAAACGACGAAGTGCTGCCCAAGCAGGCATGGAAGCAGAAAATCAAGGAGTTCCTCTACCAACAACTGGAGTTCGAACGTGGCCTGACCGCTTGCTTGATCATACAAAATTGCAATGTCAAGGAACGGGCTGACGATTGTATTGCCACGCTCACCAAATATCTAGAGAATATCATTCAGCATCCGAATGAGGAGAAATTTTGTAAGATTCGCATGTCCAACAAGATCTTCAGTGATAAGGTGCGCTATGTGGATGGCGCTTTGGATGTGCTGCATGCAGCTGGATTCAATGAGGTGGAGCTCGATGGTGAGCCCTTTCTCGTGTGGTCAAGCGATCAGATGGAACCGGGTTTGGATCTAGCCACGCTGCTGGATGCCTTGAAGAACTCTGAGCCCATACAACTAGAGCTGGATCGTAATATTAAAGTGTTGCTGCCATCGCAGGCGCGTCGCGTTGTACTGCCGGATGACTTCTATCGCATCTCACCGGAAGAAATCAAGCGGGAACAACAGATGCGCGCCGAGGCAATTGAAAGCTCCCAAATACTAAAGACCAAGGCCATGAGAGAGCGCGAAGAGCAGCGCACTTTGCGCATGTATCGCTATGCTCTGATAAGAGTCAAATTTCCCAATGGTCTCTATATTCAGGTGAGCTATCCAAAGGCGCTTTACTATCTACATGTATATTTAATTAATATTTATCTATGCCACACAGGGTACCTTTAATGTATATGAAAAGATATCCGATATATTTGAGTTTGTGCAATCTTGCCTAGCTGATGAGTCGCTTGAGTTTAATTTGGTGTCCGCCAGCGACGGTAAATTCAGTGAGGATGACATGGAAAAGACTTTATATGACTGCAAGTGCGTATATTTACTCTCATAATCTACAAATTTTGTAAATAATCTATTTCTCTTCTCTGTTGCTCAGATTGATCCCAAACATAGTTTTACTGTTTTCGGTCCCATCAATTCCAACTCCCGTGGCAGCTGATGTCAACTTCTTAAAGGAGGAGTTGTTTATGCTGGTGCAGCCTATGTAAATGTCTTATTTATATCCCATGCAATATGTTGGGAATGCTTCATGGCAGCAGTTCAATGTCGCCAGGTTATTGGCCCGTTTAAAATATATATATGTATAAAAATTTGTTATTTATTCCAGAAAACTAATTATATACATTTGCTTTAAACTATCTTAATATTTAAATAGTTTTTTAAATTAATCGATATCACGGCAATGGAGCAGCAAGCAGTTGCTGTTAATGTCGTCTCTGTATCTTGCTGTTATTGGGCAGCGATATAATTGTTTAACAATGGAATTTTTAGTTCTGGTACTTTCTATCACTAACAATACCATGTGGTTACTGATTCTATGTCAATGGTAGAAATTTGAAGAGTTTGGTGGTCCAAATAAATCGCGATATTGCTGTATTGCAGCAAAATATTTGTGCTCAATTGTGCGTCTGTTAACGTAGCATTAATTCTTTGCTTTATCGACCGACCACCACAGTCCGCGTGACAGCAACAGCTGTTTTATAATTATTACGCTACGGTCACACAGTGCCGAACTGGACTATATACCGTGATATTGCAGCTAACAAATAAAAATTAGCTAAACAAGTAAATATAACTAACTATGAGCTTAAAATACAAATTCTAACAACTGAGTGCAAAGTGCGTATGTCAATATATATAAACATAAAACAGTGATAAGTGTGATATGCAAAAATACAGGTGAGTAATGCCGCCACTCAAAACCAAACAATAACAAAGCCTGCAGTAGCATTGTTTTCGATTTGCCATAAACTGCTTAACCCTTGATTAATGTACTATATTTATTCTTTGAGTGAGTATATGCGTGTATGTGTGCGTGTGGTGTCATTTCCCCAAAGATCACAGCTATTTTATAATTGTAAATTTCGAGGGTGTGCGGCAGCTGTCTTCGCCTCTGTTGCGTGCCGTTGCCTGTGCTCATTAACCAAAATTTTATTGCTTAAGCAGAAATTGTAATTTGTAATGCGTTGTTAATTAAACCAAAAGGGCGCACAGCCATTGACTTTGTCTTGCCGATGTGGGCCACCAAAATAACACACTCACGCACACATATAAAGAACCAAAAACCGAAAACCTAAAATTTGTATTTAATGAATCCATTTCGCCGCGTTCAGCTACAGCGTCTATCGGCGCCGCATCAATGCAACGGTAATAGAAGTGAGAAAGAGAGAGAGAGAAAAGCATATTCGCCTTAACGAAGCTTAAATACCCTTGATATTTAAGGACTTCGGCGAGTTGTTGATTAAATATAACTAAACTTGTTTCTTTATTGGGAAAATTTAGCATAGTGATATAAATCGAAGTTAGTATAAATTTAAGGATACCCTAGAAACTTTTTAGTTGTGATTGAAGCATATAATCATATGCAATCTGAAGCATTTTAAGTCTTAGCTGATGCCAATAAAGATGAAATCATCTCTTCTATCACGATGCACATATTGCTTCACGAACTCGTAATATCTCCTTTGTAAGCGTATTTAAGGTAGGCATTCAATTGCAGCTTAGACCGGACCAGACCAGGCCAAAACCTAGACCCAGACCAAGACCGAGACCATGCAGTCAATTTGGCGCAAATCTTCTGAGCCGCAGGCAAGTTGATCTTGGGAAAAGTAAATAGGAGAAAATCTAAGAGCCCTCCGCGCCCCCACGCCCCCACGCCAAACGGAAAACTTAATGAATCTTTTGTGTGGGTTCGCTGCAGTTGCTGCCGCTAAATTAAATCGAACGTTCGGCGCGCAATCGCGCCAAATCGAAAAGCAGAAAAAATGCCAGCTAGAGTCGAAAAGACACGCAGCCGCATTAAATTGGCCTGAAGCGTCCATTGTTGGGGGCTACTTACGGTGCTGGCCATGGGATCTGGGCCTCTTCATTAAAACGCTTGACCAAAGCTAGTCAAAGATGGAGAGAGAGAGAGAGAGAGAGAGGTAGATAGAGTTGACTGTGTAGCATCTTCTTTGAGGTTCAAAGCTGAGGTTCAAGTGCGTGAGATATGCATTATTTATCTAAGCAATTTTAACTCAATATTGCTGTTGTTGTTGTTGTTGCTGCTGTTATTATCACTTCCTGGTTGCTTGATAGAGAAATTGTTGCTTGACTATTTGGGACACATTTTTTGTATTTTTTTTTTGCCTGCCGGTTGCACGTGCCAACCTTTTTGGCCCAAAACCTCTGGCTCAACTGATTGAACGATTTGGCAAGGCAAGAGAAAGATGGGGAAGATCATCTTCAACTTGGCCAAAGTTGATGAGGTGCAAATTGTGGCTGCCATGAAATTGCAAATCAACACATGCCAAACCATTCCATCTACTTGGCTCAGCGTTTCCCCCTGTCCCCACCCGCTTGGCTTTGGCCTTGCATTTCATTCAAAATTGTTTACTCAACTCGCGAAAATTGCAAATCGAATTTGGATTTTCGCGCTGACTGGCTAACTGGCTGACTAGCTGTCTTCTTGCCTGCATGGTTGATTTGTTTTTGCGGTTGCTTGCTAAACCACACAGCAGCAACAGCAGCAACGGCAGCGGCGGCGGCAGCAGCAGCAGCAGCAGCCGCAATAAGCGCCTCAATTTCGAGCGCGCCCTTTAACAAGCGTTTAGACTGCAGCTCAGCTCCGCCTCCATCTACAAAGTCTCAACTGCGCCACCTCGTGACCCGTTCCCAGTGCCCAAAATTGATGTGGCTGCCGCTGCTGCTGCTGTTGCAGTTATTGTTGCTGTTGTTGTTGTTGCTGCTGCTGCTGCTGTGGTTGTTGCTTTGTAATCGCTTTAGAACCAAGAAGTAAAAGCAAATCAGACCCCCCCATAGACCCGACACGCAAGCGCCCTGCATTTACATATTTTTGCCTGCATTTGAACTCTGAACCAAGCCGAAGCCCAGCTCAATAACTGCAACGGCGAGGCGTTCAACTGAACGAACTGTGCCAGCAACAACAACAACAGCAACAGCAACAAACAGCAGCAGCTGCGTCAACTGTAAAACGGAAATGCTGCGGCTTGTCACTGTAGAGGAAAACCCTTTGCTTCAATTAACACTATTGAACTTGACTTGAGCGCTATAAACTACACACACAAACACGCGTTTGCGCACACACATTAAAATACTTGCAAACACTCTATCTCATGTTGTCACTCACTTTTGCTCTCCCACAGGGCAATTCTCTGGTCCTTTCTCTTACCATATCTCACACATAATTTGAGGAGAGTATTCTCTCTGTCTTTCTTTCTTACTCTTTTTATCTATATTTGTGTCTCTTGCCCTCTTCACGGACCGTTTCTTCTTATATTCTGATTTCGTGTCTCCGCTTTTGTCTCAGATCTCTCTTCCTTGTACTTTCGTTCATTCCCTTTCTCTGACTACCTCTCTAAGATTCGTATCTCTTTTTCGCTGTCTCACTCTTCAAAACGAACTTCCTTTGTCGCTTAGTAGACTGCGCATTACTTATCCAAATTTCCCATTTTTAATCTGACAAATTTGAAAGTGTATTAACTGTTATCAAAATACAAACATGGTTATTTTATAATAAAATTCCTATTGGCACAATATATACGATTTTTATTCAAGATTAAGACGGTTAAACAATTTTTATACATTGTAAGTTTGTTTTTGTGAAATATATCAATATATTATTATTTGAAGGCTTTCCACTCAACATCCTAATACATACCCGTTTTCTATATAGAAAGTAAGCTCTTTAGACTTAGACTAAAATTTCCTTAGTCCTCATTTCCAACTCATATCAATCTAACTCCCTTTCTCTAACTCTCATGCTCAATTTGTCTACGTCTAGTCGTTTAGCTAATGTTTGCTCTTCTATGTGATTCTCATCAAGTTGAGTAAATCTTGATATATACAGATATTGTATTAATTTCTCTAAAGTCATAGCTTGACACCCATTTCTAGGAAAACACGCACACACACAATCATACACTCATTATAATTCTCGAACAATTAGCAATTGGCAATCAAGAATAAGAACTTCCGGTCGGTCAGCGTATTTTGTTTCTCTTATTTGTTGCCTCATTGAACGAGTTAAATATTATTTTTTATGAATGAATGAAAATCTTGTCATCATGGAGCAGCCGCATCATCGTTTGCTCTGTTCCCCCTTTGGCTCTACCCCCCCCCCTTTTTCGCTATATATACATATGTATATCACGCGCTGCGCCCCATCATTCGCGTCCAATTAGCGCAATCAAGTGGATGCTGCGCCACCAAATGCTGTAAAGTTCGCCCCGCCCGCTCGCCTCGCTCCGCCAAGGCATGTAAAATGTAAAAAATCTACGCAAAAGTTCACAGCTTGATAAGATTAATTGACTGCATTAATAGTAAGATTGTCTCTCTCCCTCCCACTCGCTCCTCCCTCTTTCTATGTGTCTCTGTGTATGTTTCTGTTTCTGCAGTCAATTTCAAATACATTTGCAATTTGTCAAATTTAGGTAGCGAGCAGATAAATTAATTTCGGCATCGATTTGATCGCTTGTCTTTGGCCAAAGCCAAAAGTGTCTGCTGCCAAGCTGCCTCCTGCCTGGCTGGCTGCCTCATTTGGTTGCATGCAACCGCCGCGCAGCAGCCGAGGCAGACGCTGGCCCTGGTCCCCGGCCACACATTGTAAATGTGCTTTAATGACCATTGGTCAGCAAATCTCATTTTTTGTGTCGTTGCTTTTGTGCCTGAACATGCTGAACATGGACCGCCTGCTGACACACACACACACATCCGCACACACACACACCTCTCTCGTTGCCAAATAGTAGTTCGTAAGTTGTACCTGCCCCGTAACTAAAATAATGACCACTGTCCACATGCTGCACATTTGCACATATTTTGCGCATTTTCCCATTTTCCTTACCAATTTTATCGCCATCTCTATCAATCTGACCACCTATCCCTCCCTCTCTCTCTCTCACTTTCAACACCCAAAGTTTACACTTGACTTTTCTCCAAGTTGGTCGTCAGCTGAAAAATGGGATTACAAATTGCGCACATTTGTCTAATTAAATCCCTGCTCCAATAACGAGATCTTAGATTACAATCTCACAGCGGTGCGTAATGGGCATTTTGGACTTTGGTCAGTTGGAGCTCTGCTCCCTCTCTCTCGCTCTTGGAGCATCTCTGATAAAGTTGGCAATTGTTCAGATGGCTGCCAAAGTGCTTAAATTTTGATTAGTTTCCTGGGGCGGGCAATTCAAATTTAAAGTAGCTGTCGGATAATAGCTGATGAGTTTTTAGATAGAATATAAAATATAACAGGGAAAGTAGTATAGAGAGATGTATTAAGTATATGTATATGCCATCAAAAAGAATTTGTATATAATTTGAAGAATTATTCCAAGTTGAAGAAAAAACTATTTAGATAGAACTAATTTTAGATAACATTTTATATAGGAAATTACGTATATATTTGAAGCCAAATTTCTACTCAAAGTTTATGATATAACATATTTTAAATAGATGCAAACATATTTTAATAAGTCTTTGCTTACAAATTATATAGCAGAAAAGTATGGTTTTATTTTTTTCTCTACAGATATATCAATATATCAATTAAAGCTTTACGTAACTTCAAATGACAGGCCATGCAAATTGCTTTTAAATCGCTTGCAATTCCCAATAAGTTTTTCTAATCGAGTCAGTTTCGTTGAATGTTACGTCAAGAGCTCCGTTAAGATTTAATTAAGGTAATTTGACCAAATCTTATGACTTGCAAAATGAACTAGTTCCTTAGTTAATATTCAGTGTGGTGTTTCATATATCATTTGATTATTCTATGTACTTGCTCGATTATTCTAAGGCTTAATTTATTGCACTTTTGTCGAGTTCTTATAAGCTATAAACTCTATAGCTTGATGAGTTTTAGAGTGTAGTGGCTCAATGATATAGTATGAATCTATTTCAAAATTGAATAAGGGTCTTATTATTTCAAGCTATTAATATTCATATTTAGAGACCAAAGAAGTTTTTTATTGTACATAAATTGTTTATTTATAGCGAGATTTGTAATACAAATAATTCAACCCTTTGCCGCTCTCACACAGTACTCCAACATTTTAGTCCATTTCAATATCATATAAAGTCGATTGATAAATTATGAACCCCCCTGCCTTTGCTCTACACATTTCTGCTGCCTTCTCACATAATTCTCGAATAGGGGCTTTCGTGTTGGTTTTAAGTGGCCCGTTGTCTGGCACATAAAATGTTTGCTGCTGACCAATTAGAGCTCTGTGAGTGGCCAACGTGGCTGCTGGCCAAATGCAACCCCCAGCTGGACGAATGACCGCAGACAACAACAGTAACAATAACAACAGCAACGACAGCAAGCACAACTGCACTGCACCAGCATCTAATAAAATTAAGCAAAAACAACACACGAAGTGTATAAAATAAAAAAATAATAAGCCAAGGCGTACTCAGCTCAAACTCAACGAACACAAAATGACTCCAACGAGCCGAAGTCGTTCGCTATCAGTTGTCTGTTCAGATTTCCACTCAATTTGCGCTTAGTTCACTCAACTGATAAGAGCACGTGTTGCTGCATCAGCCATCTCTGTCGCACATGCATGTCCATGCAGTCCGAAGAGACAAGCTCTAAGCGCCAGGCTTCCTTTATGCTGGCTTTACACTCAGCTGGCGAGGTTGCCAGATAGCTGAAAATGTTGGACTTAGGTTTAGAGAATTTTTCATATATTTCTAAAAGTTAAATTTTGTTACTTGGATAGCTTGCATTTGTAAAATGATTTTAAAAATTAAATAAATTATTTATCAACTTGTTAAGTGGCAGCACCACGCGCTCTCTTTATTTACATTTACAAATTTCAATTCGCTTTACATTTAACTGTTTCTTTACATTTTCGAAGCTCGCCGGCAAAGGCTTGTGCATTAGTGTGCGATAGCAACAGGCGCATGCTAAAGCATAAGCCCGAACGAGAGAGCAGAAGAGTGTGTAAGCGCGTGAGCAATTGAGCGCGTGTGCTTAAGTCACGGACCAAGAGAGCGCGTTTGAGCGTAGGAGAGCGCAGCTGTGGCTGCATGAGTTACTTTGTGTTGTTGCCGGCGACAGCAAGCATGCGCTCTCTGTCTGACCAGTTGGTTGGGAGGTAGCAATAGTAGCAGCAGCAGCAGCAGCAACGACTACGACGCCGACGCCAATTCGACTTAGTTTTGAGCTTCAGTCACAGCCTCAAGACGCAGCGATTCAGTCCGGTTTTTGGAGCCCATGAACGTTGAGCGCGACACGCGGATTACAGCAAGAGTTGAGTTATTCTACTACTACTGTAGTTGTTGTTATTATTGTTGTTCTTGTCGCCGTTGAAGTTTGTTGTTGCCTTCGGCTGAAAAAATTCGCAATTCCCTCCACAAATATCCGAGTGCGTCGCACAGTGAGAAAATTAAATAGCCGTCGGCTCATGCACAAAAGTGCATTAGCTGTGTGAATTTTAAAGAATACCATATAAAAACAAAAAAAACAGTAAACAGATGCAGCTCAATAAATCTTATCTATGATCAAAAGTGCCCATAACTGAGAACTGGAAACGAACGTAAGTGTTGAGCATAATACAAAAATATGCGCCATCTATTTTGGTTTCCCATTTGAGAGATAAGCCAGCTTCTTCCTTTAGAAAAATTGAAAGTGAGCTCGAAACGCATATTCGGATCTGATTTTGAATTCAGTTGCTCAGTTTTCGTTCGATTTCTTATCGCTATACGAACCAAAAAAAAAAAAAACGATCATAAAAAATTTATTTTAAAAGTCTTTGCTTTTTGAATCAGTCTTCGCTCTCGCCACTGATAAGCGAACATACGTTGTATATTCATAAATCTGCTTGCGGCATTGATTAGGTTTTTGTTTTTATACATTTTTTTTATTTTGGAACGGGATGCTGCATACATATATATATTTTTCATATTGAATATTTGTTTAGATTACGCGTTTGGGGCTTTCCCAATGCCCCTTAGAGAATCAGTTTTCAATATTAATAATGCTTGCCACAAAAGCCGCTGGCAGCGTACAGCGAAATCATGTAGAAGTGATTAAATTAATTAATGATATAGACACTGCGCAATAATGTCCACGCACACACACACGCAAAGTGAGAGAGAAGATACCAGAGTTTGCCTTCTATCGTACCCATGCCCCATGCACCATTCCATTCCTTGCCCATGCCATGCTGCATCTGCCTCTCTTCCTGCGATGTGGCATGGCACCGCATGATGCTCTGTGGCCGATGCTCCTTTTGGCTTTCTCGAAGCTCGGAGGCGCATTGATCGTTGTCTTAACTTGTCGTACACGATGTCTTATACGTGTAGCAACAATTTATTTCACTGACCGATCCACTCGCAATCGATCGACGATCGCCGCATCGCCGCATCGCATCGGTAACAGCGACGATCAATCAGGCAGAGTTGGCTAACCCTAACTATGATCAATATTAGTTAGTCTAAAAATAATACAAGCGCATAAGACACAGTCTGTCTATCTAACTACGAAAATCCTTTAAATCATAAAAACTGATAGTTCAACAGATCATAAAATAAAATTATAATGCTACAAGATAAACCATATATGAAATATGTGACAGTAGATTTTGGCATTAAAGTGTGTTATTTTCAAAAGATTTATATGGGAAGCTATTCTGTATATAAATTAACGATAAATTGTAAATTGTACTAAAAATACATTTGCAGTTCATAAAATATAGTTGTATAAAGAAATCATGCTTTAAATAACTAAATATGAAATATGTTGCACTTGAATTTGGTGTAAGATTGTAAGAAAAAGATTTATATTATTTATCGTTGAAGCACTTGAAAAGATCAATAGATTGTCTAAGTAGATCATAGACTATAACCATAGAATTTAATGTTTTCAATACTAATATTTATTATATATATATTGCCTTTATATATATAGTCAATTGTAGTCGATCTATGGAAAACTTCGAAAAGATCAGCTTGATTAGGTTGTTATTATAAATGAAAATAAAATCTCACTTTTCAGTAGTCTTTTGAAACATTTGCCTAGTCATAGCCACATTCCACTGTATATTATGCATATTATTCATATTACATTAATTACTTTTCTTATGCATATTCAAGATCTTCGTTCTTATTCTTCTTTTCAGTTCCATTTCATATTTTATTTTATTTTTTCTTGAATGTTTTTTTAAATTCATTTGCCAATTTCCTTACTAACAAAATTATAGTATTACTGTACTTGTATTGTACTATTTATTTCTTAAAATCATCAAAAATTATTTATAATACATGTAAATAATATTATTTATATACAATATATTAAGGTTTATCAGTATTGTTATTTATTGTAGAGGCTTTAATTTATAAATTTTGTTGATTCATATATATGAATCAAACGAAAATTGATAAATTTTATATAATAAATAATATATAGAAATATATATTTGATTATCAGTCAAGAAAGTGCCTCTTTTTTTTTCAAAATTATATATGGGTGCTTACTATATAGCTCATATACAATTTATATATTGTCTGTATATACCTGCTCATTAGATTTTTCGATGATTCATTGATGTATATATATAGGTTAGATATAGATGCATAGATAATATGATAGCTGTTAATATGAAACTTTTGAATAATATATACTGGCTGATATTGGCAGATACAGACCTTGACAAATAGGTCTATATAAAATTGAAGAGTCATTTCCAAAAAAGTATATTCATATGGAGATATATCTGCTATGCTATCATATATTCAAATATCCCTCTATATGCTATATACCTACAGATAGAGATATATATATCTTTCTGTCTCTATCTATATAGATATATGTACATCTTATATGTCACATAATTTTGTACAGTAAAACTCCATTAAGTGAAGCTGAGCAACACCATTTGACTCGCACTTTGGTTGTTTGGGATTTGTGTTTTATTTTTATGACTTGTTCGTAATTAGTTTTTACTTTAGTCTACATTTATATGTATTTCAAAGATGTTTTATGGTGCAGCTGCCCTCAGCGCGTAGGGTTTAAGCTTTTCAGTGTTTTATGTGCCGCCAGAGATGAAGATGCTATTAAATCTGTGTGAGTAACTGTGTTTACCTTTCTATGTGTTGATTTTTTTGCCTTTTTTTTTTTTTTTTTTTTTTGCCTGCTTTTCTTGTTGCCTTTCTGTCTTCTTTGCTACTAATATCTGTGTCCAAAGTGCTAATTGAAGCATCTCTAGTCTCCGGCGGGTCAAAGAAGTCAAAGTTCTTTGGTTTTCTGTGCTTTGTTTATGTGTTCAGAGTGAGGTGGATACAAAGTGAGAGAGAGAGATGGAGAGAGGTTGTTATGTCTATTCAACTGACTGACGACAAGTGCCTAGCATATACACCTCTTTCAGGTAAACTGTCAAGCTGCAGTTTGTTGTCGGGCCATGTTTACAGTCTTCGATGTTGAATTAATTAAACTAACTTGCAATCCAGACACCCACACCCACACCCGGATACACACGCACACTCACCCACTTGAGTCTTGCCTCTGCACCTCAATTTGTACTTTTCAAAAGCAAAATCTGCCTCCTAGTCGAAATTGCTCAAATGTAACCCGAGGCCATTGACTGACCTGCCCGCAAGACAGTAGCAAAAGGTGGACGAGCAGCAGCTTCCACTCATCAGTTGTCCTGGCGTATATGTTGAATATATGTGTGTATATATGTATGTGTGTAGATTTTTGAGAAAAGTGGAGCCATTTAATTTGGGCTCAAGCATAAAATTTTATGCTGAGCCAGACAGCAATTTGTTTCTTGATGGCTTCAATTAAAACTCGACAAGTGCAGCTTCAATTTTATTCCTTTCATTTGATTTTCATAATTTCATTGAATTTTGTATGCCCTTAGATCAAGTACGTGTTAATTATAATAAATATTTCTATATTATATATATATAAATATTACTTTTTTTTTATTATTGTGCATAGTCCATTTTAAGTAGATAAATCTTATATATATTTATTCAAAAATGGCAGCTCAAATGAAATTTAATTTCCTGCATATGTATCAGAGGTCAGTTTCTGTTGTGTAAAAGCTCATCAGCTTAGTCCTGCCTCCTGCTCGCCTCCTGCTCGCCTTGTGTTGGAGGCGCAGACAAAGTGTTGTTGGTTGGCCATTGATTGGAATATTCATTGAATAGTTTTTAAGCTGATTTATATGCCATTGTGTGCTCTTGCTGCTGCTGCTCCTGCTGCTGCTGCTGCTCCTTCTGCTCGTGCTGCTGCTGTCGACAATTTAATAAATATTTAATTTCAATGCTCTGGTCAACGCTTTGCTTCTAAATCCGCAGACACATAAAAGATTCAATCAAGCGAAGACATGGCATGCACCTTCATCCTGCTGCAGATGATGATGATGATGTTGCACTCAGTTATTATTAATAATAACGAGTACACACACACACACACTCACACGCACGTACACACACACTCAAGAGTTGCCGACATCGTTGTCGTAATTTGCAAAACGCACAATCGCTTCCTATAAATCAAGAGAGCGCAGGAGGAGAGTTGAGCTATAGCTAAACCTGTTGCCCTCTCCCTCCCACATACACTCTCTTTCTCCTTCTCTCTCTCTGTTTGCGATGCGACCTATTCAGATCAAATGGAGCAGCCTTACGTTCGCCATAATTCACCTGGCATATCATAAATGTATTCACTATTCACTATTCACAGACTTTTGTCAGTGAATGCACCCAAATCCAAAGCCACAGACGTCAACTGCTATCAATCTCTCCGTTTAAGCAGAGCTCCAGCTCTAGCTCTAGCTTCAAGTCTTCTATTCGTACTCCTACTGCTGCTATCCGTTCCCCTCTTTTCCCCTCCCCCTCCACAGATTGGCTCTGTACCGCTCAAAGGAAAGCGACCGTCGCAATAGATCGCACATTGCAGATAGAGGCGTGCCTGCCACTCGACTCTCTGCACAGTGGGTAGGGGCGGTGGCGGGGACAGGTGAGCACCACTGCAGTTAGGCAAGGGGAGATGAATGAAAACTAACAAAAGCGTTACGTTTCTGTGCGAATTCAACGAAATTCTTATACTCTTCAAAAGAGCTGTTCAAACAAACAGTCAAGTTTCTATTTTATTTATTTTAAGAAAAAAAATCTCATCTGAAGGTCTTATAGATAATATTACTTTTAATAAATTGGTCTATGTGATTCTCATTTTAATTAGTTAATTATTCTGTTATTATTTCACGTCTCTGTCCTTCCAATGTGACTTAACTTTTTGATGCTCTGTGGCTCTAAGAGCCTCTGTGAGAGAGAGAAAGAGAAATTGATGTAAAGAGGAACCAGAGGGATACAGTTCTCTGTCTCCTTTATTTGCTCTCGCTCACTATCTCCATCCCTGTCTATCTTTCATAATCTGTCTAGCTATTTCTATCTCTATCTCACCCTCTATCTCTCTCTCTCTCGTTAGCTTCCTTTTTACGCTTTCTCTCCCTTTCTCTCTTACTCGTTCTCTCTTCATATTCTTATTGTCCTTCCCCATTTTCGATTAGAGTATACAAAAACTCATAGAAAA